CTCCATGTCTCCCGCCCGACCCGCCATACCATTGGTGGCCGGGCTTTCAGCCTCTCTGCCCCCACACTTTGGAACTCCATCCCACAGACCCTTCGCCTCGCTTCCTCCGTTGCCTCCTTCAAGGCCAGTCTCAAGACTCTTCTCTTCAACCATGCCTTTGGTCTCTCTCCCACCTCTCAGCCTTCCCTCACCCCTACACCACCCCTCCCCCATGCTCAGGCCCCGACATCTGACTGTTCCTCTGACATCCTCCCGACGTGAAAGGCACTCTATAAATGTAATTTTGTTGTTGTTGTACAGTAGCCGTGCTATAATAGTTTTCATTAGCAGCGCTATAATAGTGTTTGCACCACATGGTTGGTTCACTCCCATAATGTTCATTCACTGAATTACAAACTTTAATTTAACTATTTTGCGGCTCCATCTTGGGACATCTTGCTGCTCATGACTCCAAACCCTTGCAGTAACAAACTACTGCACTCCACACATCTGGTGGTAAGGTAGTGGGAGATGTTGCTACCAGTAGAATCACATTGAGACATTTAGTGTGAAACAACACAGGCCTGTTGGGTAACAACAGGTTGCTAACAATTTGATCTGTTCTTTAACAATTGATTTTATGGCACCGAACTTTCAAAATCATCTCTAGGGAAAATTTGCCCATTTCACTGCTCAAATTACATTACCAGTTTGCACAAGGATTTAAAGATCCCTTCCCTGCCCCCCAATAAAATTCACACCCAACCACCCAGCAACAAGCTCACCTCTCTCACCATTCCTTGTTCAGATTGTTTCAATAAAGCTTCTATCATGCACACAGCTCCCACTCCGCTCTCCCGGCTCAAGATTGCTGTTCAATATCCATTAACGACCCTACGATATTGGCAGTTGAGCCATATTACCTACCATATCCCTGACTTCTAGAAACCACTTCAAAACTCACACAGCAACTCTCTGTTTTTCTCCCTCCTTTCAGTAGAAAGTTGTTGTCAGACAGAAATTGGGGGCCACACGATTCTACCCCGCTTTCCAACGGGGAACCATCGAGAATGGTCTCCAGCGAGCGTGCTCGATTACGTGACTGGTGATGTCAATGCACGTGGATTCTAACTATGGTCCGGCTCCATCTGTTTGCGTTGGGTTTAAAATCATGCTGGTTGCCGTGACACGTTTTGAAGTATGAAAATTTCAAACACAAATTGAAGTGCTGACGGATTTGGGTGGCACAATGTCAGGATTTTGGATTTTTAAGTAAGGAAATTTCGGAATCCTCAACTGCATAAGTGAACCCACTGTCGCCTACAAAACACACAGTCACTATACTTTACAGTAAATTCTGTGAAAGGTTTTGAGACAACCTCCCAACATGAAAGACCACTATATATATATTCGCCCACAAATATACGGTCAATTCACTTTACAGTCTATTCTGTGAAGCACTTTGAGACGTCAAGAAGACGTGAAAAGCGCTATATCAAATGCAAGGATTATTATAATATTATATAAACACAATAATTATTATTAAAATAACAGGGTCAAAGCAGGAAATAACAAAAACAACAAATTGCGTTTATATTGCGGGGAGGCACTGGACTGTCAAGACTTTGCACCCAAGTTGGGGGTGAGATTCGGGAGAGTTGAGGCCGAGGGGTCATGGGGATGGAGGGAGGGGGGAAGATGACCAAAGGTATAAAGAGGAAAGTGTTGAGGTGGACGTTGAAGCAGGCGAGGGAAAAGGCGAAGCAAAGGGATAGAGTTGTAAATAGTGGGAAGAAAGGCTGAAGGCCCAATCGCTGATAGTGGAACGAGCGGGTCATGGTGTGTGTGTGTGTGCATGTGAAGCAGGCTACTGTCTGCCGAGTGAAGGGAGTGGACTAGGAAGTCCATGACCTTTTTCTATTTGGAGTTGGGAGATGAGAATGGAGGGTGTGGGAGGATCAGTAGTTGAGGTGGTTGGTGATGCTAAAGAGAAGCCTGAGGTTATAATTTCCCTCTAGGAAGATAGTGAAGGGAGGATTTGGCTGAGAGGAGGGAGAAATGGCAAGTTTTGGTGTGGTCCAGGCAAATATAACTATGGACCATGTGGCCTGTTTTGATCTGCTCTGCTGCATGGGCTGTGGATAATAATGATCGGAGATGACCGCAGTACCACAGAGAGCTTTGTATCAACTGTCAATAGGAAGCAGCTTGGGATTTGGTCAGCTGTTGAGGGTGGAGAAGAGGGAGTTATTGAGTAGCTCAATAGTTTGGGAATTGTTATTTCTGAATTACAATCTAAAAGTTGCAATTCACACAACAAATGTGGTTGTGACTATTACAAATTAGACCCCATTATTTTTAGTTAGTCAAATCTTAGTTTACAAGTGCATTATTTTCCAATTATAAATGTGTAGAGATTGATTCTCAAGAGCAAAGTCAAAAGCAGAATAGAAACAAAAAACTTAGTTGTACAGATTTTTAAAAATCCTATTAACAATTAATAGTAGGTTATGGTGCATGTAGTTCCTTAATCCAAGAAAATAATTACATTTTGTGGCACTGTATTCTCTACTAATTAATTATACTATTAAAAATTACTTTCAAATATAGAGGAAACCTTTGTGCAGGATACGTTTAAAAGAGAATGTCTGAATACTACAAATGACCCCAATTCACCCATTAATCTTCATTATTTTCCCATGTAAATCCCTCTGGAACAAAACAAAGGTGTTTTCGCCTCAGTCCATTTTTTGCCATCTTAATTAAAATCAGCTTAAAATAACCTCCTTCCACTTACTATTCTTGTACATTTTAAGATTCCAGCTCACTGGAATACTCAGAGGTACTCAAGACCAAAGTACAGTTGTTTGTCCAATCCCAAACTCAACGTTAATGCCCCATTTTTTCAAACCCATTCCAAACGACTCTGTGATTTTTCCAAATCACTCTGAAAAGGCAGCAGTCTGCCAAAGCTATTTACCTACAAAATACAGTCACCGGACTTTACAGTAAATCCTATGAAGCTCCTTGAGGCATTCTTCCGAAATGAAAGGAGCGCTCTGAAATGTAGGGATTATTTGTTACTCTATTTGTACCATATAATTTCTCAAAACAGATACAAATATAACATGCATTTCTAGACAAATTTGGGACTTTAATCCCAGTCAGAATATATTCATTTGTCAATACTTAAATGTAGCTCATTGTATTGACTTCTCAAATGTGCTCTTTGCCGGTCTCCCCATCTCCACCATGCAGAGGATCCAGCTGATCCAAAACTCAGCCGCCAGCATACTCATCTATACTAAACTCCAATCCCCCATCACACCAGTTCCAGCCAGGCTCCACTGGCTCCCTATCGCCGAATGGATCAATTTCAGGATCCTCACACTCGTTTTCAAATCCCTTCATGCCCTGGCACCTTCCTACCTGCTTACTCCCCAATCCACAACCCGCTGCCTCCACTCAACTGGCTCCAGCCTTCTGTATGTCCCTCGTGCCCTCCGTTCTACCATTGGTGGCCGCATTTTCAGCCACTACGCCCTGAAACTCTGGAACACTTTTCCTCTATCCCTCTGCCTTGCCTCTTCCTTCCCCATCTTCAGGCTGTGCCTGAAGACCTTCCTATTTGACCGTGCCTACGGTCACCTTCCCTTCCCCCCGGCTCGGCATAGTGCTCTGCCACCATCAAGCACTCTAGGAGGCTACCCTGCGTGAGGGACGCTATGTAAATGCAAGTTATTGTTGCTGTACAGATAAAGAAACCAGTTTTCCAATCAATGTGTCTGTATAACTGAGGTAAGCACCGAGTGATTTTGATGAAACCAAATTATGATCTTATTGAATTTTCAGCGCTACAATTAAAAATAGAAAAGTCACCATGGTTTTTTTTAAAAGCGATCATAGTCTGCCCAGAGCTGTCAGAGAAATCGAAAGATAATGCTAGTTTGAAATAATTATAAAATAAAAAAGCTAGCGTACTATTTTGAAATAACTTTATTATTATTACAGCTTAAAGGAAACTTCATGAATTCACAGCAACTGCGTGGAACCCACCAGAATGACTTCTTAAACCACCACCTCCTGTTGCTGGAGCATTTTTATCAGCAGCTATAAATAAAAGCTATTTCCAGGTCAAAAAAAAACTCTTGCTAAGACATGAGTGGGCTTTGGAGGGGGGGACAGGAGAGGAAAGAGACTTGCAAAATAAAAATGTAAGTTGTAAGTGACTTTCCACATGCACATTAAATGCTAATTGACAGTGTAAACTATCAAATAAAAAATCTTACGTTGTAACAAATTTGCTTCACAGGGCAGACAGCACCTTTTACTGTCTAATCTAATGCGGAAGAGGAGTGGGGGTCAAGTGTTGGTAACACAGTAAAACTGGCATAAGTCTGATCAGTATAAATTGTATAACTGTCTAAGTCGTACATCTGCCCAAGTCCTGTTCAAGAGTTTATATTCTAAGTTTGACATCACTCATACTTTGCATAAGTCATAGTAAATGTATGGTCCCAACCGATACGACTTAACTGTAACTTGCACGCAAGAACATGCACACGCCTTAAGTGATGTTGTGGACTAAATGGATGTACAGTACAGTGTGTGTGCAGTTGACTGACCAACCAACGCTCTGCTGAAGTCGAGCAGCGCAGCACTTCGCTCGCAGTAACTGCAGCGCATCTGCTCGATCAGCCCGAGGTCTGTGTGCCCCTCAGCCACTGTGTGCAGACCCGGTGTTTTGCAATGTGTATCGTCTTGTAACCCACCACACAACACACACACCACCTCCACCCCCACCCCCGGTCCCCCTTACCCCCTTTACCCCCTTCCCCTGTCCCCCTTACCCCTTTCCCCTTACCCCCTGTCCCTTCCCCTGTCCCCCTTACCCCCTGTCCCCCCCTTACCCCCTGTCCCCCTTACCTTACCCCCTGTCCCCCTGTCCCCCTTACCTTACCCCCTGTCCCCCCTTACCCTTACCCCCTGTCCCCCCTTACCTTACCCCCTGTCCCGCTTACCTGAAGAAACCGATGAACCAGACAAACTCGAATTACTCGATGCCATCCTGGACTTGTCTTTATGGAGCGAGAGAGAGAGGGGGAGAGAGAGAGAGAGAGACCCTCTCCCTTGTTCCCCCGTCTGTCTGTCTGTCTGTCTCTCTCTCTCTCTCGTGTTTTTTTGCTCTGCAAAATGTTACTGGTGACAGCTCTGCACTCTGCTGTTGGTTGTGGCGGTGTTGCCCATTTCAAACCACTTCCTGGACTGTCAAAATCGCAGCGTGTTGCACGAACCCGTTTCTTGCCGCCCCCCCACCCCCAGCCCCCACCCCCTCCCCCTCTCACTCCTCTCTCTCTCTCTCTCTTTTCTGGAGGCAGATTGCGGGGGGTGGCGCGAGTCCTGCCAGCAGCCCCCGCCCGGGAACACAGCGTTTCCCGGTCGGGGGAAAGGGAGGAGTTGGGAGAGGGAGAGCCCGGGATGCAGTGCTTCCCACTGGGCGCCGGGGAGCAGTGAGCGCGCGCCCTGTGGTTGGTGTCAACTCAGTCGCTGTGTGAGTTGCGGGGAGACAGCAGAGCCCTGACTCATGTACAACATCAGCTCAGGGGAGGAGGGGGGGGAGTGTGGGGGGGGGAGTGTGGGTGTGTGGGGGGGGGAGTGTGTGTGTGGGGGGGAGTGTGTGGGGGGGGGGGAGTGTGTGTGGGGGGGAGTGTGTGTGTGTGTGTGGGGGGGAGTGTGTGTGTGGGGGGGAGTGTGTGTGTGTGGGGGGGAGTGTGTGTGTGTGTGGGGGGGAGTGTGTGTGTGTGGGGGGGGGAGTGTGTGTGTGTGTGGGGGAGTGTGTGTGTGGGGGGGAGTGTGTGTGTGGGGGAGTGGGAGTGTGTGTGTGTGGGGGGGAGTGTGTGTGGGGGGGGAGTGTGTGTGTGGGGGGAGTGTGTGTGTGGGGGTGGAGTGTGTTGTGTGGGGGGGGGAGTGTGTGTGTGGGGGGGGGGGAGTGTGTGTGTGTGGGGGGAGTGTGTGTGTGGGGGAGTACAACACACACATAAAGCCCTCCCGCACTCAATGCAACAGTCCGCACAGCCTCTCTGCGAACATAAAAGGAGGATTTGTGGCCAAACAAAAATCTGCTCATAAAAAGGAAGGCTCGAGGTCAGTCAGAGCCGCAGCGCTGCCATCGCCAGAGCGCAGAACCAACCGAGCGCTCGTTACCACGTGCACAAAGCAAGTCAGAGGGGGGGTTAGAGACGGAGGGCTGGGGAGGGGAGGGGGGGGGGCTGGGGAGGGGGGGGGGGGGCTGGGGGGGGAGCTCCTGCCCGAGAGTTGGCTGTGGGCGGTGGGGCTCTGTCCGGGGTGAGACTCCGCGGCCGCTGGGACTTGTGGTTCCCCCTCAGCCCCGTGTGAGGAGCAGCAGCGCCGAGTGAGTGAAACTACATCTCCCGTGGTGCCAGCAGCCAGCCCGCCCTCCCTGCCCTCCCTGCCCGCCCGCCCTCCCTGCCAGCCCGCCTGCCCTCCCTGCCAGCCCGCCCTCCCTGCCAGCCTGCCTGCCCTCCCTGCCAGCCCTGCCCTCCCTGCCAGCCCGCCCTCCCTGCCCTCCCTGCCAGCCTGCCTGCCCTCCCTGCCAGCCCGCCCTCCCTGCCAGCCTGCCTGCCCTCCCTGCCAGCCTGCCCTCCCTGCCAGCCTGCCCTCCCTGCCAGCCTGCCCTCCCTGCCAGCCTGCCCTCCCTGCCAGCCCGCCCTCCCTGCCCTCCCTGCCAGCCCACCCTCCCTGCCAGCCTGCCCTCCCTGCCCTCCCTGCCAGCCCGCCCTCCCTGCCCTCCCTGCCAGCCTGCCTGCCCTCCCTGCCAGCCAGCCCGCCCTCCCTGCCCTCCCTGCCAGCCTGCCTGCCCTCCCTGCCAGCCTGCCTGCCCTCCCTGCCAGCCTGCCCTCCCTGCCAGCCCGCCCTCCCTGCCAGCCTGCCTGCCCTCCCTGCCAGCCCCCCTCCCTGCCAGCCCGCCCTCCCTGCCAGCCTGCCCTCCCTGCCAGCCTGCCCGCCCTCCCTGCCAGCCTGCCCGCCCTCCCTGCCAGCCTGCCCTCCCTGCCAGCCTGCCCTCCCTGCCAGCCCGCCCTCCCTGCCAGCCTGCCTGCCCTCCCTGCCAGCCTGCCCTCCCTGCCAGCCCGCCCTCCCTGCCAGCCCGCCCTCCCTGCCAGCCTGCCTGCCCTCCCTGCCAGCCTGCCTGCCCTCCCTGCCAGCCTGCCTGCCCTCCCTGCCAGCCTGCCCTCCCTGCCAGCCTGCCTGCCCTCCCTGTCAGCCTGCCCTCCCTGCCAGCCTGCCTGCCCTCCCTGCCAGCCTGCCTGCCCTCCCTGCCAGCCTGCCTGCCCTCCCTGCCAGCCCGCCTGCCCTCCCTGTCAGCCTGTCTGCCCTCCTCTCATCCCTGCCAGCCCGCCTGCCCTCCCTGCCAGCCTGCCTGCCCTCCTCTCATCCCTGCCAGCCTGTCTGCCCTCCCTGTCAGCCAGCCTGCCCTCCCTGTCAGCCAGCCTGCCCTCCCTGCCCTCCTCTCATCCCTGCCAGCCTGCCTGCCCTCCCTGTCAGCCAGCCTGCCCTCCCTGCCCTCCTCTCATCCTTGCCAGCCTGCCTGCCCTCCCTGTCAGCCAGCCTGCCCTCCCTGCCCTCCTCTCATCCCTGCCAGCCTGCCTGCCCTCCCTGTCAGCCTGTCCGCCCTCCCTGCCTGCCCTTCCTGCCAGCAGCCTGCCTGCCCTCTCTGCCTGCCCTCCCTGCCAGCCAGCCTGTCTGCCCACCCTGCCCTCCTCCCATCCCTGCCAGCCAGCCTGCCTGCCCTCTCTGCCTGCCCTCCTCCCATCCTTGCCAGCCTGTCTGCCCTCCCTGCCTGCCCTCCCTGCCAGCCTGTCTGCCCTCCCTGCCTGCCTTCCTCCCATCCATGCCCTCCCTGCCTGCCCTCCTCCCATCCATGCCCACCCTGCCAGCCTGTCTGCCCTCCTCCCATCCCTGCCCTCCCTACCAGCCTGTCTGCCCTCCCTGCCTGCTCTCCTCCCATCCCTGCTCTCCCTGCCAGCCTGACTGCCCTCCTCCCATCCCTGCCCTCCCTGCCAGCCTATCTGCCCTTCCTGCCTGCCCTCCTCCCATCCCTGCCAGCCTATCTGCCCTCCCTGCCTGCCCTCCTCCCATCCCTGCCCTCCCTGCCAGCCTGTCTGCCCTCCCTGCCTGCCCTCCACCCATCCCTGCCCTCCCTGCCAGCCTATCTGCCCTCCCTGCCTGCCCTCCTCCCATCCCTGCCAGCCTGTCTGCCCTCCCTGCCTGCCCTCCTCCCATCCCTGCCAGCCTGTCTGCCCTCCGTGCCTAGCCACTCTCCCCCTGCCTGCCCTCCATCCATCCTTGCCCTTCTAGGCAAGCCTGCCTGCCCTCCCTCGCTGCCAGCCTGTCTGCCCTGCCAGCCTGCCAGCCTCTCTCCCCTGAGCTGCCTGAAGTGCTGAATTTTTTATGAACTTGTGCTCTGATCTGTCCCCACAAAGTCATTAAACAGCTCTTTGCTGTGAAGTACACACACACACGCACTTCCTGAATCACTTCTCTGCAGAAGTTGCCGAGGCTACAGTGTACATGGTACCCCTGGGTGCATGATACGAATGGATAATCTTAACACTAAGATCCTGCTGCTGCCATGCTCCTCCCCTGCCACTAGATGTCACTAGTGCGCCTAACACTCGTGGAAGAGGCGAGCACGTGGTTTCAATGTTTGTAAACAAAAATGTTCAGAAAGTCCTACAGACTATCACCTCTGGCGCAGAAACCCAGTGTCATCTTCACCCTTCGCCCCCTCTTCTCTTTCCCCTCAGAATTACAGCAGAGAACCACCACTCAGTGAGACCAACCAACCCGAACACTGAGCCATATAAACCAGAACATTCAATATTTACTCCGAAAGTGGGACCCTTTCACGCATTCAATTACAGATTTTTTTTTGCCAGTAATAGAAATCTTCTGTTACAAACAACTAATTGTCTTTTTCTCAATAACCATTCAAATTCTTTAGTGTTTCATCTTCAAAGAATTCGATAAGGTTGGTCAAGCATGACCTTCCTTTCATAAATCCATACTGGTTGTGTGGATAATCTCAGAATTATATTTTGAGACTAACCCTCTCTATCAATAACGTACTATAAAATCTTGGTTCAAGTCTTGGCCCTTACCAACCTGCACTTAATGCTCTACGGAAAAAGGTAAGAAAGGTGCACTCCTCTGGGAATATAGTACGCATTTAACTTCAGACACGGAAATTTCCTTTTATAGATGGCAAGCTTGAAACTTGTAGGTCGGATAGGGCGAAACCTTGGGCAAGTTTCCTTACTCCACACAGAGCCTAATAATAATCCCTCCAAAACCAAAAACAATAATAATTTGGTCATTTTCAATCTACGACTGTTTGTGGGACATTGCTGTGCGCAATTGGCTGCCGCGTTCGCCCACAGATATACAGTCAATTCACTTTACAGTGTGTTCTGTGAAACGCTTGGGGACGTCCTCCCGACGTGAAAAGCGCTATATCAAATGCAAGGATTATTATTATTATTATTATTATTCCTAAGAATGGTGACGGGTTTTCACATGTGTCAGTCACCCGTCTGACAAAAAAGAATCTTGGTCAGCAGATTAAATTTACAATTAAACAAATAGTAAATAGTATATTTACTAACTGAATTGTTATTATTGTTAAAATTGCAAATGGGATAGAAACATATTAAACAATAGGGAAAATAAAAACAAAATAAAACAAAGATGTCAAAACTATTACAGTCGTAGCACAAACAAATAAAGATGTTATATTTTTTCAGTTTAAAAAATGTAACATATCTTAATTTGTTACACAAACAACTTGCATTTGCTGAAACAAAATTAACATATCCATCAATTTTGTCTATTAGAACCCACCCTAGTATTCTACATACATTATTTTCAACCCTCTTTCTTAAATTACCTGCCTCTCTAAATGTTTCGCCTATACCAGGATCACCTTCTGGGATCTGGACCAATATGATAAATGTTCAGTTACATTTTCTTCCGCAATGTCTGACCAGATCCCCTGATAATGCATGTTCAGTGTCATATGTGACAGATTCTCACTGTCAGCTATTCTCACCTACAAATAGAATAGATTGCCAGAAATGGCTAAACCTGAGTATGAACTACCATAACACCTCAAAAAGAAATGAAATAACATTTAAAAAGTTAAAATCAAAGTTATTTACATTATATTTTGAAAAATTTAATAATGATGCAAATATATGAAAACTATAGTTTTTGTTCAATAAACACAGTGACTGCATTTTACAGTATATCCTGTGAAGCACTTTACAATGACCTCCTGACATGAAAGGTACTCAACCAAAGGTAAGGATTAATGTTATTAACTACAAGAAAAATTAAAAAAATTGGTCACTCACTCTATGACTATTTGTGGGACATTGCTGTGCAAAATTGGCTGCCATATTTTGGACACAAAATACGCAATTCAATTTGGAATACATGCTGTGAAGCACTTTGAGATGTCTCAATGACACGATAAGGCACTATATCAAATGCAAGGCTTACTATTATGATTAAATAAATAGATATCAAAAATATTACAACAAAATCTTGGATTTATATGGTGCCCTTCATGAAGGATAGCACCTTGGAGCGCTGCTCATTGGCGGGGCTGGCAGCTAAGCAAGGGAGAAGTGGGAGCTGACCATCTCGTGATCAAAGAGGTATATCTTAAAATGGGATTTAAAGATAGATAAAGAGGTGGCGAAGCAGACAGATTGGGGCAGGGAGTTCCAGAGGTTACATGTAATAAAATAACTAACTATATTACATATACTAATAACATAAATAAGTCATATTTACCGGAAAAGCTTTCAAATAGGCTTTTGCTACCTAATTTCAAAGAAAAGGTGAATGAAAGATCTTCCATTGCCAGACACATATTCATGGATCTGTGCCAGAGTATGACTTTGTCATTCCATATTCTGCCCATCTGCAGCCTGACCCCATTTCCTTAAAACACATGGCCATTGTTAAACATGAGAGACTCATTTAACACTTTGAATGCTGTAGGGGTATTTCTCCAACAAAATCATAACAACAGCAGTAACACGTAGTAAAGTTCCTTGTCA